TTACTCATCCTTAAAGACTCAGACCAGCATTCAATTCTGACTATTTAGATAATCAGCTCTTACTGTACTGTCCTCAGTAGACAGTAATCTACTTAAGGGCAGAAATAATCATGTCATTTGCTATTTTCTTAAAGAACTATTTTATTTAACTTTACTTATTTATTTTAATTTTATCAGAAAGGGACAGAGTAAAAGAGAAAGAGAAAGTGAGAAAGCAAGTCGCCAGGTCTAGGACTTGAACCATGATCGGCCATGTGGGAATCCAATGCCCTTAACCAGCACACCACCTGCCAGCCCTGCCATTTGCTATTATATACTGGCTTTTCGCCTATAGAAAATAGGCAAATAAATAGGAAAAGATAGGAAAAACTGCAGACCTTCTGTATAACTAATTTTTAAATATATATTAAGGGAATAATTATAGTATTTCTGACTTCCAAAAATAACTATAATTCTCCCAAAAGACTTTGACGTGGTCTGTGTAATATGGTAGTTGCCGTTTGAAGTTCACTATTCTCCAAACATATGTTATTTTATTTTAGTCTGTATTTTGATCTGGGATCCATCTGTTTACACATACATGAACACACACACACACACAAAAAAAAAAACCACAAAAATTATAAATCTTCATAATAAGAAATGTAACTCATCTTAATTTCTTAGCTCCTTATTAATTTATGGCATCACCCAATGGTATAGTCAAAACTTACAAATCTATAGCTTCTCCTATATAAAAATAGAATATGGGGGCCAGCAGGTGGAGTGGTGGTTGAGGCGCTGGATGCCCACATGGCCAACTGTGGTTTGAGTCCCAGACCTAGCAGCTTGCTTTCTCACTTTTCCTCTCCGTCTCTAACTCTCTCTTGTCAAATTTTAAAAAATAAATTATAATAATAAATAAAATTAAATGAAAAATAATTCTGAAAAAAGTTTTAAAAAGAAAAAAAAATGTGCTTGAGTATACTTTTTATGCAAGGAAAAGTAATTCTATTGGGTTGTCAGAAAAGTCACAGTGTATTTTTTTCTATGCTCATGACTATTCCAGCAACTCAATATAATATTCTTTAACTTTTTCCAATTACATTTACTGGATTTATTTTCCAAAGGGACATTTATTTGACAAAATTACTTTTTTTTAGTTATAGGACATACGATGAGGTCTAGTCACAGAAAGCTTGCATCTGAAGTATTTAGGATTTAAATAAGTAGATAAATAACATCTCATATCCTGCACAAAATTCTTACTACATTTTATTTCTTGTTTAAAGTGTCCTTTTTCCATCTTATTTTCGGTCTCTCCTTCAGTCTTTCTTTTTCATTTCTGTATGTTGTTGCCAGAGGCAGTAGACAGTAATCTACTTAAGGGCAGGACTTTTGGACACAAAGACTGAGAAACAGAATTATTAATAATATCTAAAGTCGGCAGAGGAGTTAAAAATGGAAGCTAAAGTTCAGAACCCTAATCAACTATTGTTTTACTATTATTTTAAATTGATATCATAAGTGTACATAGTTACATGGTACAGTGAATTTTTCAGATCACTAAATTTTATTAGACATTTCCATACCACTAAAAGAAAGAGGAGTCAGGAAATCACTGTCTCTTTGGGACCAGCAGATGTTGTAATGGTTACATCACTGGACTGCCACATAGTCGACCACGGTTTGAGTCCCAGACCCAACGGCTTAAAACACATCAGGTGCATGTGCACATGTGCCCAAAATCCCAAGAGGAGAATGAAGGAGAAGGGACTGTAGTGTGACCATCCTCCCAGAGGGTGATTTCTCACTTTCTGTCTCTGTCTCTCCAGCCAGTGCACACAGCCTATAGCAAAAATCTCTCTTAAAAAAAAAAAAAAAAAGAAACCACTGTCTCTTTGATGAAAAATGACAGAATTCATTCAACTATTTATTAAATAATAACTATGCTCAAAGCAGGATTCTAATAACTCTAAAGCACATTAAGGTGGGTAAGACACTTTAATTCCCTCAGTTCCCAAGGGGAGAACAGACAAGAAGATGAAGAAATATAGGGGATGAATAGTGGTATGGTGGTTTGACACAACACTCTGCAAGGCAACTCCACATGGGAAGGCTCCCAGTTCCAGTCTGGAGACATCCCTGAGTATACCAGGCATACGTGTGGCCATGGTCCAGCGCTGGCAGAAGGCTGGGAGTGGACTGCAGTATCAAGACTCTACTGGGGGTGCTGACATGCACATACGGAAGAAAGGAATTAAATAAATAATCAGCTTATAAAAGAACAATGAAGAACTACAATACAAACCCAATATGATACATCACAAAAGAGGCTCAAAATGCTACAAAAAATAGGAAGAGAAAGACACTATGTCCAGCTGCGTGATTCAGGAGTTACTTCTCACAAAGAGTAAAACACAAGCCCCGAAGACTAGAGAGCATTTTACAAACAGAACTGAGAAAAGTCCATTCCAGGCAGAAGGGAACAGCAAAAATCAAGGAAAGGAGGCAGAATACAATGAAGAGCCTATGGATCCCGAGGGCTGTCTCACTGGGTGAGTCTGCAGTTTCAGGCATCAGTTCTTGGCTTTGCTCCCTCCTGACCAGGGTCCCCTCCCACATCACACAGAGGCAGTCAGCTTAGGCCAAAGCATAAATGGCCTGGGGATTCTGGGTTCAATGCAGGGACACGGAGAATAACTGAAAGGTTTGAGCAGAGTTCCTACCAAGACAAGACAGTGCTTGAGGAAAATGCACTGGCAACATAGAAACAAAAGAGAAAAGCTGAAAGAGAGACCAAAATACCACAATGATAGAATAATGTAAAGCTATAGAACTTGCTGCTGCTAAATGTTTTGGGAATAACCTCAAACATTGCAACCAGGAGTCTGAAACAATCTATCACTGCATCCTTTGTACTCAAAGTCCCATATAAATGCGTATTTAATACCCAGAAAACTTTACAACCCCATTCTAATCTTCTCTGAATTCTTCTCTGTAATAAATAAATCTGATGCTAGGCCTAGCCATGGTAGTGCAGTGGTAGCATGCTGTTCTGCAATGCTGGAAGCCATAGGGAAGACCAGGGTTCAGTTCCTGGGCTGATCTCTAAATCCAAGGGCACTCGCCTGTGACCCCTGCTGGCTGGGAGGCTGAGGGAGACTGTTTGTTTTTACAATTGATGTGTTTTATCACATTAATATGATTTACACTACACCTATGCCAACATGGCAAGTTCACCATTATAACTTTTGAAACTATATTTAGATCAGGGACCAGCAGGTGGTATAATGGTTACATCACTAGACTCCCTTGTAATTGACTGTGGTTCAAGTCCTGGACTCAGTGGCTTAAAACACGCCAAGCTCATGTATGTGCATGCCTAAAATCCCGAGAGGAAAATAGAGGTGAAGGGATTGCGGCATGGCCATACTCCCTAGGGGATGATTTCACTTTCTGTCTCTTTGTCTCTCCAGTGAGCACACGTGCCCTATAACAAAAATCTCCCCCCCCAAAAAAAAACTATATTTAGAACAGATCTTTCTTAAACTACTATAATTGCATAATTTCCAGTAATACTTAGAAGCCTAATACATGTACAGCTTTCTTATATGGGTTATAATAATCTACATTTTTAAATTATACTTTAATAATGTGTCTTAAAAAATATCAATACCAGTATGATTTATGTTTAGTCAAAGTTAACTGGCTTAGGATTTATAAACTTTTCCAGGAAAAACACTGTCAAGGCCACCCTAGACCAATATTCTGCAAATTCCTCAAACCAGGCAATCCATCTCAATCCATCGATGAGTCTCCAGCCTCTGAACTTATCACTCCTCCCAATCTTACCTCTTAAAGTAAAAGAGGGAGGAGCAGTATTGTGAAGAATTCAGTACAAAAATAAAACCGGTGTCTGGGAAATGTTTTTTCTGTGCTTCAGAGTTTTCTTTTGCCAGATGAGAGACTTATCTTTCTTTCTCATGAAAGAAAGAAATGAGGAAAAAAAAAGTTAACTCCAGTTTTGCTGTTTTGACCACTGACATCACTCTCCTTGGCCCCATATCAGCGCAAGCTGCTAAGAAAGCCAGGCACTTCACCGTGTGCCAACAGGAAAATGAAGGCTCTGCCCAGGAATGGCAGCCCCCACTCCTGCCCACGCTGCAACCATGATAACGGCTGAAGTCCTTCACCCCTTCCTTCGCTCAGGTTGAACGGACGAGCATGGGAGCCTGCCCTGTACTCCCCAGGCCTCCTTACATGACTAATAAATCTCCCAAATCCTCCGATATTGTGTGGCACTATCAGTCTGACAGCTGATCCAATTTGGAGTGGGACTGTGGATCCCACCCTCTGCAGGGGGACCACAAACACTCTCAAGTAATCAACTCCTGTACTGTCCTTACTATGCCTACATCAAACAGGAAAATGCTGAGAAGAGGCACGACAGAAATCATAAAAGGATTCCTGAGCCCCCAGAAACTCTGCACAGGGAGGTGTCCCTTTACTAAATGTCCTATGGTCTAAAGATCAGCTCAGCACTGCATATCTTGAATGGCCACACATTCACTCAAATACCAACTTTTGAACAAGTCGGTGTGTTTTTGTCAATGCGTGGCTCTGGCCTTTCCTGGCTGACTAAGATACTGCATAGTCACAGGAGCTCTGGGCTTCATTCTCCCCAAATCACTTGCTTTTCACTAGAAGAAATCTCTTCACAACTTGAGATGGAAATATAATTAAACATCTCCTTTTTTTAAGATTCTGAGTTCAAGTGCCAGGGTGACTGAATGAAAGGCTAAAATGAAAAATCACAAATAATATTCTTCAAATAGCTCTTTAGTTATAAACCAAGTGACAATTTTGGTATGTACGTAGTAGTACAGAAAATACTGTTTTCAAGTCTTTCCAGCCATACCTACAACTATCTAATGGCAATAATCACTTAAAAAATAATTTTAAAAACCAGCATCATCCTCAGAAAGACAGTTTATAAAATTATAATATTATGTACTCACACATCTTTAGCTGCTCCTGCAGGACCTAAAGGAGAGAGGAAAAAAAAGATACATTTGTATGGGTGTGATAGTATTGCTACAAAAAGTAAAAATTAAGACAATATCTAACTAAAACAATACTCTAGTTTTTTTTTTAAAAAAAAAAAAACTAATTTCAAAAAAAAAGGAAAAAGAAGAATCCTAAAATTCAAACACTAAGTTTCAAATTAAACTTTCAAAACTTAAGTTTAACAATTGACATTTTTAACAATTCCTAAAAATAACAAGGTATTATTTTGAAAAGTTCACAGATTATCGAACCCACTGCCAATTTTATAGATAAAGAAATTGACAGACTTTGAGAAACATTTTCTTTTCTAAGCCACACACACCTTCTAAGTTGGTGTCTACATGGCACGGTCTTAAGTCACACTGTCAGTAGTCACAAAGTGGAAGTGAAGTCACAGGACAAGATGGAGGTGACAGACTAAATGATCAGGAAGTTCCAAGGACAACAGCCAGCTAGCTCCCAAACAAGTCATGTGCCTCTCTAACTCTGCTCCTATTTGCTACGGAATGTTCTCACTTCTGCTGCCCACCATGACACAAATGGCCCATCTCTTTTGGATCCCCTCCGATTACATCACCACTCTGCCTACAGGAGCCCACCTCCACACGTGACCCTCCCAGTCTCTTTATCTGAAGGATGTAGAGCTTGGCTTGGACTCTACCAGCAGCGGATCACTAAGGTTCTTAAACTTTAAAAATCTTACTCCTGGGACAGCCGATGCTGGATCCCACAGGGCCAACTGTGTAGTTTGAGTCCTGGACTCCGTGGCCTGAAAAACACGTCAGACACATATGTATGTGTGCCCAAAACCCTGACAGGAGGGAAAAATGGAGAAGGGACTGTGGGCATGACCATGCCCCATGGCAGGGGTCAGGGAGGTTAGGGTGGTTTCCTTACTTCCCTTCTCTCTCTCTGTCCCTGTCTGGTGAGTGCATATGTTCTCTGGCACAAATTTAAAAAACAAAACAAAACAAAACAAAAAGCTCACTTCTCTTGTGTCAAATGAAGATAAAAAGATGACCTTTCTCAAAGGTTATTATAAAGATTTAAAAAGACAATGTGTGTAAGCACTTAGCACAAAGTCTGGCAGATAGCCAGACTAAGCATACTAAATTGTCATTGTTATTAACATTTAACTTAATATCTCAATTTCCATATATGTAAAATGAAATGAACTTCTGCATGAGGCACATGTGAAAAGATGTGCTACAAGGGAAGTTAGTAAGTCTGCAGGAAAAGTTCCTGCCAATATAACAGAACTATATCCCATTGACGTTCACTTGGGATTTGCACTTCTGCAAATTAAAAACTGATCATAAAACATAGTCGAGGGAACCAGCAGTTAGCATAATGGCTATGTCGCTGGACTCCCACGTAGTCGACCACGGTTCGTGTCCCAGACCCGGTGGCTTAAAATTCACGCTGGGCGCGTGTGCGTGCGTGCCCAAGATCCCGAGAGGAGAATGGAGGAGAAGGGACTGCAGCGTGACCATCCCCCCTGGGGGGTGATTTCTCGCTTTCTGTCTCTCTGTCTCTCTCTGTCTGTCTGGCGAGCGCACGCACCCTATAGCGAAAACTTCTCAAAAAAAAAAAAAAAAAAAAAAACATAGTCGAGACTATATCACAAGCAAATTCTTATAAGGCACTGACTAGGGCCAGCCATTGGTATGGTGGGTTAAGGTGGCTGATCTTGCATGGCCGACAGTACAAGTCCTGGACCCAGTAGCTTGAAGAACATACCAGGCACATATGTCTATGTACCTGAAATCCCCAGAGGAGAATGGAAGAAATGGAAGAGAAGGGATTGCAGCAAGGCTATTCCCCCCTTGAGGGCATTTTCTCACTTTATTTCTCTCTCACTTGCTCTCTCTCATGAGTGCATCTGCCCTATACCAATTTTTTTTTTTTTAAAGCAATAACTGGGACCAGCAGTTAGCACAATGGCTATGTCGCTGGACTCCCACGTAGTCGACCACGGTTCGTGTCCCAGACCCGGTGGCTTAAAACTCACACCAGGCGTGTGTGCGTGTGTGCCCAAGATCCCAAGAGGAGAATGGAGGAGATCAGCGTGGCCATCCCCCCTGGGGGGGGATTTCTCGCTTTCTGTCTCTCTGTCTCTCTCTGTCTGGCTGGCGAGCACACGCGCCCTATAGCAAAAACCTCTCCAAAAAAAAAAACAAAGGCAGTAACTAACCCTCGACTTTGAAGTAAACTTAATTCCTTTACTTAGCGAAGAGTAACTTTTTAAAAATATGTTTTAAATTTTTTCATTTAACTTTGTTTCTTTTTCTTTTTCTTTCTTTCTTTCTTTCTTTCTTTCTTTTCTTTCTTTCTTTCTTTCTCTCTTTCTTTCTTTCTTTCTCTCTTTC